TGGCTTCCCTTGGCTAGGGGAGGGAGTACCCCGACCCCTTGCATTTTTAGGGTGAGGCAACACCCCCACCCTGCTTCTGCTTACCCTCCATGGGCTGCACCCACTTTCTAACCAGTACCAATGAGATGAGCCTGAAACCGCAGCTGGAAATGCAGAAATAACCCACTTTCTCTGCATTAATCTCGCTTGGAGCTGCAGACTGGAGCGATTCTTATTTGGCCATCTTGGTAAGTCGGGAAATTTTATATACATATATATATATTTATAAATATATATATATAAATTATATATAATATATAATATATATAAATAAATATATATTTATAAATTTATTTAGATATAATCATGTATATGTTAGAAATATATAAATATATGACATAAATATGCATGTGTATGTTAAAAATGTATGTTTTTATATTCTTGTATTTCTAACATATATATTTGTGTGTGTGTGTGTGTGTGTGTAAAAGTCCTTTTTCTCTTTGGATCTTATTTTTTAAGAAATATTTTTGTTCTCAGTCAACTGAATTCTATCTCTCCATTTTACTTATCTGTCCCTTTTTTCTCTTGCTGCCCTTGATGCCCACATGAAAGATGTAAAATAATTTCTGATGCCTGGTGATTTCTTAAAACAGAAAAGCCACCAGACTTCTTTTTGGGAGGAGCCGCTGTTTTTGTTTATCAAATCCCAAGATTTGTAAACACACAAGTTTTTTAACAGATCTTAAACCTCTCACTTTGTTAAATGAATTACTGGATCTTAATGGCTTTCGAGGGTTTCAAAAATGGCTTTGCACACTGGTTTTGACCTTGGTGTGTGTAATAACTAGGTAGGAGATAATTTTTTAGGGCTGGCTATTGGAAGATATATTTGTATGCTTTTGGCCACCTGGAAGATATGGAAATATTCCAATCCCCCACTGAATAGTGAGACTGCCATAGGATGATATGGGTTGATTATTGAATGGGCTAATTGGCTTTTGTTGGCCACCAACCTCAGAAGAAATGTACTTGAAGTGATTTGCATGGTACAGACGTGGCATTGTCTCATCCTGTAATGTTTTCTGCTTTCAAGGGACAGGATTTTTTGTAAAAATAAAATTCTTGATTTTTGGAGATTTGTTCAGCCTTCCAGGTATGCCTGCATAGTAAGCCCTAAAAGCTGCATGTTTCCTTGGCCCTGTTTCTTAAAAGGCTTCAGCCCAAAGCCAGTAAGCCAATTAAAAAAAATCTTTAAGGAAATCACGTTTAAGGGTGTCGGCTTTCCCTGGCCATCTTAACTCAATTTTTACACCATTTTTTTCTTGGCTGGCCTAAACTATAAATCCTCCATCTTGTTTCACCTAAAAGTTGTTTTTTTTTAAAAAATGCAAATTTGTAGTTGCCTCACTGATAACTGATTACAGTAGAAAACAATTAAAGACTAATATTGTAACATGTAGAAGAAAAACTGGCAAATGAACAATCTTATGAATCTCTAAGATCTACTTCTGTGTGTCTATATGTCTAAATATTTATGACTTATGTATGTAATGTTTGAGTACCAACAATATCTGAAAGGGCTCTAATTGTCTTTTTTAAAAGTTCTTAAATATTTTATCAGAAAATTGGAGACTTATTTCCAAATACTTTTTCAAGTCCACGTGACTTAAGTAGATTTTTAACCAATGAGTTGGCTTTAAATTGATAGGTAAAAAGAAAATTCAAAATGTCTTCACAATTGTCAGTATACATGATTGCTTAGATGTATTGGTCAATTGATTTTTTCTTTTTTTAAAAAAAATTTTGGTCAAGTGGTTTCATATTTATCTCTGCTAGCTACTATAAGATGTCAGAATGTGATACAAAGGTTTTAAACTATAAACCCAACCCGAGACAATGATTTTTGTTCATGTGATTTTTGATAAATAAGGCATTTAATATTGTTGATTTAATGAAAACAGCTCAATCCAAACTTATCAGTAGAAAAAAACTATTAATAATAAATTAAGTAAATGTAACAAGTGTAAAATGTTAAGTTGTCATATAAGTTAAATCTTAACATTGTATTAAATCAAATAATGGATACTGAATGTCTGGGTAATTATCAATTTTTAAACTAAATTATTAGAAACATTTGTAATAACCTACTGTGGGCTAGCATAAACTGACTCCATTTTAGCTGTAAACTCCAACCTGGCTTCCCCCTCCTTACCACAGCCCTTTTGGGTGCATAACTGGGTCATGCTGCGCTTAGAGGCATTGAAGCTACTGTTCCTAACACTTGTAACCACTGTAACTGCATCCTGCTTGGCATACCTCCCCCTGCTGTTGTATGGAAACCACCTGTGCCGGCAGCTCCTTCCTCTAACCTGCTTTTCTGCTTCTGTAAAATTCCACTTCAGCTAGGTACCCTCTCCCACCTAAATCAAGGTATAAAAGATAAAAAGGCCCCTTCCTCAGGACGGAGAGAATTTTGAACGTTGGCGGTCTCTCGGTCACTGGTACATTAATAAAGGTCTCTTAATTTGGAACTCAGAGCATGGTGCATTCCTTCTAACTTGCTGAGTTACAATACATTTTTCAAAAAATTATAAGATGGTTCTCATCTATAAAATCCTGATTTTCTTCTTCCTAGGTTTTCTCAAAAAATTTATCACCAAAAGTCAAAATTTTAGTTAATATGTGATGTTCCATATAAAATGTGCCAAAATAAGAAGTATTCTTATGAAAAAAGAAAAATCGTAAGAAATAAAAATGAAATAAATAAAGTGAAAATAATTGTTGAATTCAAAGATTATTAAAAGATTACTTATGAAACAAGATAAAGGGAACTAGTAAGTAAGAGATTTAAAGAAAGTTATAAAGAGGTATTCTTCGTAAGAAAGATTACAAGGAAAATAATTTTGTATAAAAAAGACTCTTGTGTGATTGATTTTTATCCTAAAATGAAATGGCTGGTTATTTAAGAAAGAGTATGTTTAGGACAAAACAGAAACTCCAAGCATTCTGTAATTGGTTTGTGTAAATGGGTTTCGTTTAAAAAATATTTTTTTAAAATTTTTATATGTGATTTAGTTGGCTAGAATGGAAAGAAAATTATTCGTAATAGCCTTTCTAAAAGATTGGGCTTTGATTTTTAAAATACACTAAAAGAAAACAAAAAATTGGTTAGAACAACAAGATGTTATTAAACATTGATTTAATGAAATTGTAAACTATAATGTTTAATTCTGTAATCTGTTTCTAAAAAGTTTCTCAGATTAATATTTCAAAAGTTCATTTTCTGCTGTTACCTCACTTCTTCCAGCTTACTCAGCTTATTTTCCCTTTGAAAAAGCCTAGGGTAAGAACTCTCTTCTTTAACTTTTGTTGGTTCTAGTAGCATTTTTTTTTTTCATCCCTCCAATTCTAAATCTGTTCTTATGGCCTGATGATGAAATGATTTATCTTGAAAGGTTTTTTCTTTTTTTTTTTTTTTAAGGCAGTGTTTTAATCCAGTATAACTTAATTCTGTACTCTTGGCTTTTCTTAATATGTTTAGGGGCCATGGGTCCTTTGAAGGTTTGCTTAAAAATCAACTCTCAAAAGACCAATTGATTAAAGACAAGGCATGCAGATTTGATTGGAATATATACATAAGAGTTTTCAAAATAAAGGCCCAATATATAGGAGAAATTATCTATTTTTAATTGCTTAGGTTTAACAAAGTATGGACAGTCATGTATAAATATGTTTGAAAGAAAGTGTATAATGTAGTTCTGGTGGACTTTGAGGGACTAGCCAACAAGGCCTGTCTGTCTAGATTCTTCTTAACCTTTCTGAGTAAGCATTTTCTTCCTTTTAGCTATGGGGCACCTGTAAGCTACAGTAAAACAAGAAAGGTCAGATAATTTCTTTATTGTCAGTTCTTAGAGAGAAATGTGGAGAAAAAATCAGATTAATACTTTTAAAGTTTTATGGCTGTTTCTAAACAAAAAGTTACAGATTCTGGGGCCTACCTGGAAAAGGAAAATTTTGGTTTCTATGGCCAGACTTGAGGGAGAATGGAATTGAGGAAAACAGGGGCAGGAGAAGGTCAGATTAAAAGCTGTATTTCTGAGGGTGCTTCTGAGGCTTTCATTTTGGGGTATTGTCTTTTTCAGCCCCAATATATGTTCAAAGTCTTCAATATAATTAGGCAACTTCCCATACTGCGGCTAAGAGTCACATGTTCTCCTACTCAAGACCTCTATGATATAGTGTTCACATTACACTGGGCATATTCTTACTGTATCTGACTAGTTCAAGTTTTTTTTTTTTTTTTTTTAAATCAGGTTTGACTGTCAGCTTATCCAAATAGGCTTCCCATAAGAAAAAACAGTCACTGAAGAAGGTTCCTTTTTTTGGTCATTGGTAACTAGAATAATCCACAAACATTTTAAGATAATTCCTGTCTTGTTTTAGTTAGTTTTTAAATATTATTACAAAACTAAACTTTAAAAGTAAGGTTCGTATATCCGTGTAACTTCCTATGTTGGTGTTAATGTCTTTTTATTGCACTCTGATAAAATGAAGAACTTTTGTAATGGCCTGTGATTCTTTTGTAATCAGACATTTTGAGCTTTCTAACATCTTTTGATGAACAGCCTCAAAAATCAAATACTGAATAAAGTCTCTAACTTAGACTTATAGCTGGGGGCTTATCAGAACTGTAAAAATTAACCTCTGCAAGGTTGTAAAATCTTCCAGCTTCCAGTTAAGTCATGAACTTCAGTATCACTTTCTCCAGATTGATTATTGCACATCAGCTGAGAGACTCCTCCAGCCACGTCCAAAAGGGTATTTATCAAATAGTGTAAGTTAACCCTTTTGCTGTTAAGTTGCAGGGGTTTGAATCCTGAGTACTCCTATCTCATCTAAAAGATAGCACTGGCTCCTGATGAATTTTAAATGTTAATGCTGATATCTGGCACCAAATTCTAGTTAATGAAAGCCCTACCTTCACACCTGGGAGAAGATAACAGTCAATACAAATTGCTAAGACTATACTTTTAGGGATCATTTCTATAGTTTGTTACTAGGGAAGTTTCTCTGAATGTGTAGAGCACCAGAAACCACTAAAAGAGGCAGCGTTCTCTCCTGAAAGGGAAGCCAGCTTTTGGCGTTGCTTTGCCACAACTGCCATTTGCCGTTGATGATAATTCCTCACTTCCTCTGGGAGTATAAGAGGGAGAGGATGCATTTAGAGTGGTTTTTAAATTAAAAAAAAAGAAAAAAAAAAAAAAAAAACCTAAGCTGGGCATGGTAGATCACACCCATAATCCCAAGACTTTGGGAGGTTAAGGCAAGCAGATCATCAGAGGTCAGGAGTTCAGGATCAGCCTGTGGGCAACATGGTAAAATCCCATCTCCACAAATAATCCACATTAGCTGGGTATGTTGGCTTGTACCTGTAGTCCCAGTTACTTTGGGGTGGGGCATGCAGTAGGATTGCCTTATCCCAGAAAGTTGACGCTGCAGTGAGTGGATATGGTTCCACTGCACTCCAGCCTGGGTCACAAAGGGAGGTCCTGTTTCAAAAAAAAAAAAAAAAAGCTTTCATGTGATACTGGGCTAGGCCTGTATACAAAGACATAAATACTAAATTATTTATCTTCTATCTTAAAATAATTTATTCTATGCCTTAATACTAGATAATTTAAATGTTAGTTACCTGTGAGTTCTTTTTCTGTCATTGTCAGAGCTAGGTAGGGCTTATGCCCTTTGTGTTTAAACACTTTTAATTTAGGGCTGGACACGGTAGCTCACATCTGTACCACTTTGGGAGACCAAGGCAGGTGGACTATTTGAGGCCAGGAGTTTGAGACCAGCCTGCCCAACATGGTAAAACCCTGTCTTTACTAAAAATAAAAAAATTAGTTGTGCATAGTGGTACATCCATGTAGCCCCAGCTACTTGGAAGGCAGAGGTAGGAGGATCACTTGAACTTGGGAGGTGGAAGTTGCAGGCAGCTGAGATTACACCACTGCATTCCAGCCTGGACAAAAGAGACATGGTTCCAAAAACTGCTAATTCTATATATTGCTTATAAAATTGGGTAAAACAGCTAAAATTACCATTCTCTATTGGTATCTCCAAAATTTACAGCTATTTTAAATCCCACTGGTCCCATTCTATTTTTATTGCTAATGTCCTACTGGTAAATTTATATAAACACCTTTTCTCACAGGTACAGGCACTCTTTGTAGAAAAGTTGAGCATGTGGGACTGTAAGGGCAAGTTTTGAGGGATAAAATTAGTTTAGCCCCTTCGAATAAAGGACAGGCACACATCCCCAGACAGCTGACAAAATGAGAAACTTTGCCTCCTGGGTTATTTCCATCCATCCAAACTATAAAGAATTTTCTACTCTCCATAAACTTAAAAGAAAATTACTGAGAAGATATTAAGATACTTTAGTGACAAAGCCACCTGGGTAGAGTACTCCAACTTACGAAAAATAAACAGATAAATATAGAAAGCTGTTTTAAAACAGGCAGTACAAATTACTAAAAAGACCACACAAACTTTGTGAAGTAACAGTCTCTAAATTGATTAGCTTAAATGGTTTCACATAGCTACTTACTAGAGTCTGTAACTAAAACCAAAATTATGCTGGCTTAACAATAAAAGTTGTTTAAGAAAAATTTAAGCTAAATTAAACTTTAAAAGTTCAATTGAGCAATGAATGTTTGCAAATTGGTCTGCCTCCTGAGCCAGTGTGGACTCAGAGACTCAGTGCAGCTATGTGGTGGAAGAAGTTTTATGGACAGAAAAAGGAAAGTGATACACAGAAAATTGAAGTGAGGTACAGAAACAGTTGGATTGGTTACAGTTCAACATGTTTCTTATTTGAACATGGTTTCTACATTTAGCCAAATCTCAGTGATTGGCACAAATGTAGGCTACAGTCTGTTTACACATTTACTTGTTATAGTTCAAGGGAAACATTTGTAAGGAGGGAGCTTTAGGCTAAACTTTATTGAACAATTTTCCCCTTTTGGTCATCTTCTCAGTTTTGAGGGATTGGCCAAACTTGAGTCATTGATGTCCCTATTATTATGTACTTGTTTGGTCTTGAAACCCACTGGGACGTAGCACAACAGTTGGTTTTATAAGTTGGGAATGACTTCAGATTATTTTACTTTTGTAAGGGTTAGAGTAAAGGATACCTTCCTATGCTGGAACATCCTTTTTATAGGAGAAAAAAACAAAACCTGGTCTGTTCAAGGATCTGTGTGTTTCCTTGAAGATCATGTCACATTTAGCATGAGTGACTCCATTTTGGTTTGGTGTGGTCTCTTGGGACCTAGTGTATGAGATCAGTGTTAAACAATGGCCTCTCACAATTTGATTTAAAAATTCTCCCCTTTTGGTCAGGTTCTCACTTACGTGACTGAGACTGTGGCCAAAATTTAGGGTCTTAGTGCCACATTCAGTTACCATCACTTTGGGTTTCTAGTCTCAGCATGTCATTTATAGGTTATAGTGTCCTCAGGGCCACACAGGTTTGTTTGTTTTTTTTGTTTGTTTGTTTTTGTTTGTTTTTTTTATAAGCTAAGACTATGATTACTGTCGGGAAGATAATCAGAGTTTGGAGTAGTTCCTTACTTAGTGTCCTCATAAACCATACCATCTAAAATCAAATGAATGAGCTAAATAGCCTGCTCACTTAATTAAGCAGTCTTTTCGTTAATGCAATACAACTGTACCTACCTGATGTGATGTATTTATCCGTAGGCCACACATGACAGCGGCTCTCATCTTGTTTTACGTCCTTGGCAGCTTCACCTTGGTACCACATGGTAGTACTTTCTCTTGGTCTCCACTATTTAGAGGATAGGACTTTTGGAGTTGGTGTCAGAGTTCTAAAATTTATCGTGAGCAGTTAAAAAGCCGTCGCATGTTCGAAATCGGCTCCTCTAGGCTCCTTCTGGGAAGAGTAAGGGAAACTGCCCAATTCTGTGGCCTAGTGGCTAAGGTTTTGCCTTTTTACAGTGGCAGCTGGTTTCAATTCTTGGCTCAAAGAATGAGCCCTTTCTCATTTGGTATCTGTGACCTTTGTCATCTATTGATTCTCTTTCCCTCTGTCAACAACTTCTGACTGCCACCTTGAAATTTTCTTTCTCTGGGCTAACTTTGGAGGTTCTAGATTTTGCAAAAGTTGCTTACTACCTCTTTGAAAATATCTCATACACTAGCGGTTAAGCCATAACCTTAGTTAGGGCTTTTTAGTTTCACCTGGGAGATTACTTTTGTAAAAGTTCAAAAGCCAGAAATATTGGCTATTTGGCCTAGCTAAAGTCAGGTAACAAGAGATTTAAATCACTTTTTTAAAAACAGAATACTGTAGTTAAAAGTCAATTGATGTAAAATAGGATATCCAAGATATAGTTATATTTAAAACCTGTTCATCATTTTTTCTCCTCTTGGATTGTATTTTTCTGGAAAAAAAAAAAGTTTCTTCTCTCTCTTCAGTCAACTCAATTTTATTTTTCACCATTTTGTCTTGCCATTCTTATTGCACACAAGAGGGGACCTAAGATAACTTCTAATAGCCTGGGGCTCATTGGGTAAAACAGACTAGGCACCACAGACCCTGTTTTGGGAAAAACCTGTTTTCCTTATGAAACCCCAGGAATTGAAAGCAGACAGATTCCTCTCTTGGCCATCTATGTTGTAACAGGTATCAGTACTCAATTTCCTCTGAAAGCTGAGTAATATTCCTGGGAGTTGTTAGAAGCTGTACTTCAGTTCCCACTTCTGATGCCATCTGTTAAAAGAAAAACTTTAGCCAAATCAAATTTATACTAATTTAATTGAGCAATGAATGATTCATGAATCAAGCAGCCTCTTGAGCTAGAGTAGGCTCAGAGAAGCCAGCACAGCCACATGGTGGAAGATTTATGGACATAAAAAGTTACATACTAAATACATAAGTGAGGTACAGACACAGCTGGATTGGTTACAGCTAGGCATTTGCCTTATTTGAACATGGTTTGAACAGTAGACTATATTTGGCCAAGACTTAGTGGTTGGCACAGGTGTAGGCTGTGGTCTGTTTATACCTCCGCTTGTTATAGTTCACAATGTACAGAGAGACTTTCTGGCTGAACTTAAAATATGTAAGGAGGCACCTTTAGGATAAAACCTGATTTAACAAAGTAAAGTCAATTTTTTTCCTCATCTTTGTATATCCAAAGTAGAGGATTAAGAAATGTATCTAGATCCTGCCACTGGATTTTTAGAAACAGCTGCATCAATGTATAATATAAATACCGTACAGGTCAACCATTTAAAATGTATAAGTCATAGTCTCTTAGTATATGCATAGTCTTGTGTAGCCATCACCACCATCAATTATAGAAGATTTTCATGATCCTGAAAAGAAAGTCTGTATCATTTAGCCATTATCCACCAGTTTGCCTTTTTGCCCTTCCTCAGAACTAGGGAAGCACCAGCCTACTTTGATTTTTTGTTTTGAGATGGAGTTTCAGTTGCCCAGGTTGGAGTACAATGGCATGATCTCAGCTCACTCTAACCTTCATCTCCTGGGTTCAAGCAGTTCTTCTGCCTCAGGCTCTCGAGTAGCTGGGATTACAGTCATGTGCCACCACGGCCAGCTAGTTTTGTATTTTTAATACAGATGGGGTTTCTCCATGTTGGTCAGACTGGTCTCAAACACTCAACTTAAGGTGATCCACCTCCATTTGCCTCCCAAAGCACTGGGATTACAGACCTGAACCACCCGACCCAGCCTCTTACTTTGTTTTTATAGAGTTGCCTATTCTGGACATTTCAGGTCACTGGAACCACACAATATGTGATGGTCTTTTGTGATTGGTTTATTTCACTTAGTATAACAGTTTCAGGCCCATCTTTGTTGTAACATGTGTCAGTACTCCCATTTTCTCTCATTACTGAGTAATATTCCACTGTATGAATATAACACTCATTTTATTTACCCATTCATCAGTTGTGGACCTTTGAGTTGTTTCCATTCTTTGGCTATTAATTATGTCCATTTTCGTGTTTTCATTTCTCTTGGGTGTATACTTACAAGTGGAATTGCTGGGTCATATGGTGACTCTGTGTAACCTTTTGAGGAGGTACCAATCTGTTTTCAAGAGTGGCTGCACCATTTTACATCCCATCAAAATTGTATGGGGGTTCTGATTTCTCTGTGTCTTTGCCAACAGTTTTTCACATTTTT